GCTCCAGAATGCGAAAGATGGGCGGCAGTATGGTAAACAACGCAGGCTTCATAGTCGCTCTCCAGACAAAGATCACCACAACACCAAGTAGGATGCGAATGGTCGCTTTCAGCAGACCCATCTCTTCCAGGTCGAATGGAACGGACGACGGATATGCGTCTTTTACTGCGTAGCCAGTCTGCGCATAGTGCCATGCACCGAGATTGATGCCAATAACAACGCCAGAGAAGGACACGCTGTCGTCGTAGCATGGACAGTCGTCGGCGGGCTCCGGGTGGATGCGGACCAGAACGCACACGACCAAAGTTGCAATGAAAATGTCCATATAACTTCCACTAAAGACGAACGAGTCCATCCAGTCCCCACATACAAGCTGGAAAGCCGTAATCAAGGCACCCATGATGCTCCCGACCAGGACATCTAGAAAACCGTGCATGCCGCAATACAAGCGCCCCGCGATGATGGAAAGCGCATAGAAGTAGAAGAGGGCCTGCAGACCCATGTTCCAGTTGGAGGTGTCGCGGTCGGCCGACTGGCGCAACGTGTATATGGCGTAGAAGGCGACGGACACGGCATTGGCAGAGTGGGACGAGGGGAAGCCGTACTCGAGGGCAGCGGAGCCAGACATGGAGATGCGGGCGAGGGGCGGCGACAGGGGCCTGGGCAGACAGAGCATGTCCTTGAGGAAGCCAGTCCAGTACACACCGGCTGCAAGCATGAAGACAGTCCTGTGTACGTCAGACGTCGCACGATAGTGAATGACAGCGCCCGACATACGCTCGACCAATGCTAGTGTAGCCGCACCAGAACTGGATGGGCAGGAAGACCATGAAGAAGGTGTGGGTGCCGAGGTTGGCGGTATAGGCAAAGTACGAGTCGAGTGCGGGCGAGCGCATCTTGTCCTGCATCAGGGCAAGCCATGGTGTTTCCCAGCGCACAATGGGTATGAGGCGGTTCCGCAGGGCATTGCGCCACCGGGGCAGTCGCTGGGCGTAGTGGTCGGGGCCCTTGTTGCCGGCGTCCAATTTGGGCTCCGTGGTCGCGGCGGCGGCGTCGGCGGGCGCATCATGTCGCGGACTCATGGCAGCGGTCGCAGAAAGGGGGTGGGCGAGTCAATCGAACGTGCATGTCCAGCGCGGGCAGAGGGAGTCTGGATGTAAGACGAGGCCGTGGGTAGATTACAGCATGCCATGGCATCAATCGATAGACATGGACAGGCACCCTGCAATTGGGCGCTAGCTTAGCGAGCCGCTGGTGACATAGCGTGGTTGCCATATGCGACCGAGCACTCTAACAGTCAACATCCGACTCTCTTAAGCCCCGACCACTCGCTCCCCACACCAACTCCAACACCATCTTCCTTCTCCGTATTCATATCCTCTGTCTGAAACTTGACCCCGAGCAGACTGCCGCATCCACTCACCATGGCCACCGCACCTTCCCAGAACTACGACTACCTCCGGCGCAAGCAGAGCACAAAGGCGCCCGTTTCGTCAATCACACCAGTCCGCAGCCACGCCCGCACACCGAGCGAGCGCAACAGCAACGGCACCGTCAGCTCATATGGAACCACCAATACGCGCGACACCGCCATCACCGAGCCCCCGGCCTACTCCAAGAAGCTCGTTGTTGTCGGCGACGGTGGATGCGGCAAGACATGTCTGTTGATCAGCTACAGCTCCGGCAACTTCCCAGAGGTACGCGCCCGAGCAAGTACATGTCATGTCAAGTCAATGCTAATGCGACGTAGAAATATGTACCAACCGTCTTCGAGAACTACATCACTCACACGCCCCATCCCCCGACAGGCAAGATGGTTGAGCTTGCTCTGTGGGATACCGCCGGCCAAGAGGAATACGACAGGTTGCGACCGCTCTCCTACCCCGAGACCGATGTCATCTTCGTGTGCTTCGCCATTGACTGCCCCAACTCACTAGAAAACGTCATGGATAAGGTAAGACGCCGCCAACTAGTTCATCGTGCATCAGCTAACAATACCCAGTGGTACCCAGAGGTCCTCCACTTCTGCCCAACAACGCCTCTTATGCTCTTGGGACTCAAGTCTGACCTGCGCAACAAGAAGAACTGCATCGAGCTCCTCAAGACACAAGGCTTGACGCCTGTCACCACCGAGCAGGGACGTGCGGTCGCAAGGAAGATGGGCGCTGCGTACATGGAGTGCAGCAGTAAAGAGCAAGACGGTGTCGAGGAAATCTTCGACATGGCCGTCACGATGGCCGTGGGCGAGGAGCACAAGGAGCAAGAAGAGCGCCGCGTAGGCACAGCCACCTCGTCAAGAGGGAACACATCAGCGTTCCCCGCTGGGGGCGGCAAGAAGAAGAAGCGCAGCGGCTGCAAAGTGCTATAGCCTGTGTCTGTCGAGAGGAGAGCATATCGAGATTCACGACGCTGGACGACACGATCAAGATGTTTAATGACCACATACGGCTCACCTCCATCACTGTCCGCACATGTTCGCTTCCTCTTTAATCATAGGGAAGTCTTCTCATGTACATGGTCGGCTGGCGTTTGGGTTTTGTTTTGACACGAGAATGGACACAGCGATTCAAAGGTCCACGTAGCAGCATTTTCTTCCCTGTATCTGTATTCGGTATTCTGTATGTACGCATGGCCGGAGTTGGCGCCGACTTTGCCTTTGCATGGCAATAAATGAGGTATATTTCTGGAACCTGTCTCGTGCCCCCGTTTCTGCTTCTCTTGTTCTCGACGTGCAACACCACTACCAGATCCTGTTTCTAGACGATCGTGATCTGTGCCAATGACTCGTTCTGGGGTATCATTACATCATTCAATTTATCGTCATGGCCTGTTCGACGGCTGGCCGTGCACCTCCGGGCGCGTTGTCCACGAACTAATAAGCTAACAAGGTGTCTCCTTGCAAACGCTCATTTCCGGTCCTGAGGCACCTCTGTCTCGCCCTCGTGTTCCGTCGCACCTTCTTGCGCACCCTCCTGTTGCTCACCCGGATCTTTGGCCATGACGTTCTCAAAGTGGCTCCAGAGCGACTCGACGGGCGCGAATTCGTTCCCGACCGACGTGACCTCCTCGAGCGAACGGTTCAACTTGTTGATGTTTTGCAGGACAACTTCCAGACTCTGGCACTTTGTTAGGATGCACATGGTTTGGGGAATTAAATTGAGAGACTGCAATGCGCTCCGTGATGGGCTCTGTGGCACGTACTTGGGCAATCTCAGTGACGAGCATTTCGCGCTGTTGCTCGTAGTACGTCTTTGGCGGCGCGGCATCCTGGCCGTTGGTCGACGCGAAGTATGGCGGTCCCATCTTTGTATTCTTTGGTGTTGATGCTCGGCGGATCTTGTTTACAGATGCAGCGCCGTTCAGGGTTCTTAGTAAGCGATCTCCTCAACGAATCACGAGAGAGCCACGCTTATAGGTCCAAGCGGATAATAGTGGGTCCAAAACTAAAAAGCCTTTCAAAAGCTCAACCTGGAGCTCTTCGTCTCTTGTTCCCTATACTCGTTCTCGCGACGACATTCGCCATGTAGGTAAGCATCAATTCCTTCTATTACTATTCCTTTACATGATTAAAACAAACGAAAATCTGTCAATCCTCATAGCCTTGTCAAAAGGACTGCTGAGCTTTGTATATCACACTATGACATCCATCTCTTGATCACGTTCACCGCTCTTCTACTCGTTTGGCAAGGAGCTAACGCAGCCTCTGCTTAGATCCATACCATGGCGGCAGCTCCGGCTCCCAAACCAGTTAAAGAACCATTCCCCATATCCCTCGTGGCTGGCCGTTACCTCCTCTTTGATGTGGACGTTATTGCGCACTGCCGTCGCACGCACAACATCTGCGGTCTCCTGGTCGGCACGATACCGAACCTCAGCCAACAGAACGTTTTTCTGGGCGTACCACTTGAACTCATGCCGGAAGAGGCTCGGGTACTCGTCGATAAAGGCGCTGCGTATATCGTGGATGATGCGCAGGCACATCAGAAGGCTTTTGCGGAGATGAGCCGAGAGGACAGGCTGAGGTACATGGAGGAGATGGACAAGCGAGGGGAGGACGTCACCAAGGAACAGACCGAGCTGGCGGAGAGGCGGAAGGAGAGGGCGTTGAAGGAGAAGGGCCTGAAGAGGGAGGAAATCGAGAGGGGTAGCGTTACGGCGAGCACGACGTCGGACGAGACGCTCCAAGCAGACGACTCCAGTGTCGCGAGCTCCGGGCTGGGTTTCATCATGAAGGGTTCAAGCTTCTCCGACTCGGCGGCGCCAGTAAAGGCAGCCAAGGTCATCTCCAGTCCTGCCAGCTCAGTCACTGATAGCTCGGATCTTGGTAGCTCTGGTTTAGGCTTCATCATGAAAGGCTCTAGTTTCTCAGACTCCTGGGTGCAAGTCAAGGCCCCCAAGATTGACTCCTCTGCCGCCGAGGTCTCGCTGTTCGACGCTGCGCCCCCTTCGCCTGCTCCTGAACCAGCCGTCCCCGTCCAGGGTAGTGCGCCGAAAGGCGTCGCCGCCCAGAAACACTATGTCACACCGACAACTTCATACCCACCCCTCTCCACGCCCGCAAAAGACCCTGCTGTCCCTCCGCCGGCTGTGCCAGACAGCTATCCGTTGTTCCGCTATCTGCACTCCAAGGGCTACTACCACATGCCTGGGCTGCGCTTTGGGTGCCACTACAACGTGTACCCGGGCGACCCACTTCGATACCACAGCCACTTTGCTGCTACAGGCTTAGGCTGGGATCAGAAGTTCGACCTGCTCGACGTGGTGGGCGGAGGACGTCTCGGCACAGGAACGAAGAAGGCGTACATGATTGGTGGCGAGAACCCCGACGTAGACTCGCAAGAGGACGAGTCCGTGAGGGCGTTCTCTGTTGAGTGGGCGGCTATATAAGTGCTGGTCACCACTATTCATGGGAATTATGACTTGACGAATACAATGCATACATAGAACAATGATGAACTTTGTTCAACCTCGATTACTCTCGATACTTTGTTTTGTCGTGTTTAAAACTCCAAAGCAGCCGCGGTGACTTTCCCTCCCTCCTCGCTAACCTTTGGGCCTTTGCCCTTCCTGTACACTCTTGCGTCCCTAGGATCGAATCCGCCGTTTCCCCAGAGCGCCCACTCCGGCGTCTCCTCGCCGACGTAGTCTTCCGGTCTCCAGCCCACCACTTTCCCATCCTCCACTCTTGTCCCCTCCACCTTGCCTTCGTAGAGATCGAAGAAGCGCTCAAAGTCGATTCTAGTAGCCCATCTGTCGTTTCTCTTGAATCTTGTGCGGTCGGCTAGCAGGATGCAGCAGGAGTGTGCGTGCTCGGCGCCGATACCATAGGTAAGTCCACGGCTGTTTAGCTCTTTCTCAAGTTCAGTCACAAACTCGGCTACTTCTTCGTAGAAGGGGACGTTCTCCATGGTAAGGCCTGCAGAGCCAGCTGCGGAGGTCCCGCAGTATGTAACGCCCTTGACCTCGACGAAGCCAGGCAGAGCGCGCTCAACGAGATCAGCGTAGCCGCGCACTTCCTCAGCCATGTTGAAGCCTTTGACCAGCGTGAGGCGGAAGACGGTGCGTTGCTCAAAACGACGGTTGCGGAGGATATCCAAGCAAGCACAGAAACGCTCCCAGAAGTCTCGATGCAGGGGCCGATCAATCTTGCGGAGACTGTCCTTGTTGGATGCGTCTATGGAGACGTAGAGCTGTGTCACTGGGATCAAAGACGCTAGCTGAGCTGGGTGCTGGGCGTTACAGACAAGGAACGTGGAGATCCGGTTGCTGTGCATGATCCCGAGGAGCTCGTTGATGTGCGGGTAGAAGATGGGCTCGCCGACCAGACTCAGGGCACAGTGACGAATGCGCATGGCTTCGCTGAAACGCTCGGCTCGCACTCCGGGAACGCCCTTCATCATCTTGATCTTCTTGTAATGTGCTGTGGTGATGCCGTCGAAAATCATGTCTGGAGCATCGGTTATCCAGCGCCATGTCGTGCCGACGGGGTTTGTGCCGTGCCGCCAGCAGAAGACGCACTTGTTCGAGCAGGAGAGAGAGGGAGTGGCTTCCATGCACAGGTGAGAGGCAATGCCGTAGAAGGAGTACTTGTAGCAAGAGCCTCGGCCTCGCAGAGCGGATTTAGTCCATCGGCAGATCTTGACGCCTGAATGAGAGCCGATGATGCTGTAGCCTTGTTTCGTGAGAGCAGCGTAGGTAGGGGAGGTGGTAGGCACCATCTCCTTGGGGGCCTGGACGGATTGAGACTTGGCTGGGGATTTCTTATAGGTTGTAAAGTCGACGGGTATTGGTCCGGCGGAAGAGTTTACCATAGAGCCCAGGTCTTCAACGTCATCTACTCGCGTGCTCTGACCGTTTTCCTCCGCCACGTCTTCTTCGTCGCTCTCGATAGGGTCTCCACTGCCCGGCACGCCTTCACCAAGTCCTCGTCCTTCGGCGATCTCTACAAGCGCGTCCTGGACGCCTACCCTCCAGTCCTGCAACCTTTGCTCGGCCTCACTCTTGACGTCCGCCATGCCAAGCGGGTATGCTCTTTTCCTGCCCGTCAGCCGGGCCATCCACTTGTCCACTTCCCTCGACTGACTGCAGAAACCCTCTTCCTCGGTCGGCCACCCCTCCCTATCGCCAAAACCAAACACAGTGTACCCCACCAGACCGCTCAGAGGCGCCGTATCGATCCTGAAATCATTGTGTGTCTCCTGCAGGCTCTCTACAAAGACGTCCAAAACGGTGTCGATGTTGTACGTCGGAACGAGGATAATGTAGAAGTATTTGACGTTCGCGTCGCCCTTGGGCGGGCTGATGAAGTAGTCGTCGTGCTCGATGTACGATATGTCGAGTGTCTGGGGCTCCAAGAAGGACTTGGATTGATCGCAGCCTCTGTCGAGATGGAACAGTCAGCGCATGCTTCGCAACTATTTGCGCATCAAACCTACCTCGTCCACTCGGTGAGAACTCCCGCGAACTGCTTAGCGTAGCGCTCCGTCGTACCAGATAGCGACTGGAAGAAGACCAATGGCTGTATCCTATCCGTTTGGTGGTTGAACGTCGCAGGCGCAACAAGCTTCTTCGGGGTCTTCCTGCCCTTGACCATCTTGGGCCCCTTCTTCACTTTTGCGGCTGCAGCCACCGCCATCGTATCGTCCTCGGCATGGTTGTCGACGTTAAGCTCCGACGAGTTGAGCGTGGTGTATTCGGGCAGCCATTCGGGTTTGAGCTGGACGGTGGGTTTCTCCTCTACCGGCACTGGCGACGAGGGAGCTGGTGACAAAGAGAGCTTCTCTCTCCGGTCGCGCGAATAAATTGCAAGACGCACAACCGTCGCTACTACCAGTGCAGCCAGCAAGATGGGGAGTCGGTGTTGGTGCCAGATGAAGAGCAGCTCTGCGGCGACGTCAGCAACATAGATTGTGATGAGGTGGTTAACTGACCAGCTGGCAATTGTTCCAGCAGCTCGAGTAGTGCCATTGCGCTGCTCTCGACGTTGCGCCGGTGTCGTGTTTGGGTACGAACTTTTGGCAAGCCACTCGCGTGGGGTCCGTTGGTGGGGTTCGAGTGCATGCCAGTAGCGAGGAGCCATTTCCTAAGCCGTACCCCACACTTCACATGCCAAGCCGCGCATGCATCGACCATGAACCAAGGGCGAACCACGAGACACCATCTCTGCACCCTTTTTGCAATAAACATGCTCAGTGCCATTAACGCCTATGTCAATAATGAGATAGCCAAGGGCGGGAAATGCTACGCCCACACTACTATACATTCATCATTCGTGTGCCTACGTTCCGGTTCCAGCACTCCCCTGACTATTCTGTCGCCGCGGTGCTCTCTCCATGCCCTCGACCACACTGCCCCTTTTCCCCATGCTATACATGCTCCCCTCACTGCCCTGTCTACGGCCAGCTATCCCGCCAGGTCCCCCAAATGTGCTACTCAGTGTCCAGCCTCCGGTTGCTGGGCTAGCGTCCCTGATACTGATCGCTGGCGGCAGTCCCAAGCTTGGAATCTTGTCTTCCCCTATTGGTAAAATCCGTGGAGACGGAGATGGAGCATGGCGGAAAGCTTCGGCATAGAATGCAGACAGCAGCGAGGTGTTGGAGCAGAAAGCTTCAACCTCATCTTTGACCTGTTCAGGGGTGAGAGGAACACTAGATGCAGCGGCTGGAGTGGTCGCTGCTGATCTTGGGTCGTAGAATGTGAGCGCAGTATGGAGGAGACTGGAATCTTGGACCGGTCGTGCCAGCGGACTCGCAAAGGGACTGCGGTGCGGGTTGCCACGCTCTACTGCGGGTGTCGATGGTAAACGGCTGCTTTGACTACCGTCTGTGGTGGCTTTCTTGTGCTCGTAGGGATCCACAGGCCGGATCCTGCTGTGGTCTTTGGCACGGTTGTGTGCGAGCCTATTTGCCAGCAGAAGGAGGTTTCCGTCGTCGGATATCTGGGCAAGCAGGCCTCCGCTCTTGTGGATGAACTGTGTATACTTGTAATCAGGCGTGCCCCAGGAATACGTAACTTCGACGTCGGGTGGAAAAGCACTCGCAGCTTCCATGTCCAACACAAAGTTGAGCCTTCGAAGCAGGAGCTTGTGATACGCAAACTTGTCGGTTTTCGGGTACTGTGGAGAGAAGCTCGTCGAGTCCCACATCGTCTCAGGCTGAGCCTGGGGAGGCTGCAGTGCAAGCTTGACTACATAGGGCGAACGGAACGGATGGTTATCGACAATGTCCGCCACCTCCGCGATGGGCACCTCGACCAGTTTCAAGCCATACTTCTCTACGCTCGTGGCCCAGGTAACGATGGCATCTTCGATGAGTTTTGCGGTAACATTCATCCAGTCGATACGGATGTGATAGCAGTTGTCAGGGTTATGTAATCGATCGTAGTGCAGTGAAATGATCTCAGGCCGGTACGAACGCTTTCTGGGGTCTACATCATAGCGCATAACGCGTGACATGACGACTTTCCGCTTATGTGGTTCGCCGCGTGTTGGTGTTTTCTCCCCTTCTTCGAGTGAACCGGAGCTGTTGGACGAAGAATCGGCAGTGTCCGGGCGTGACTTGCTATGCTTTGATAAAAGAGGCGATGTGCGAGGCACCTCCGCCAGCGGCGTGGAAGGAACAGACTTGTCCGTCTTGCGCATACCAAACCACCCAGTTCGAGATTCGACCCGTGGAGCCCTGTGCTCTGCCGCGATCTGGAAGAAAAAGTTGCCATCGCGGAAATGATGTCGTCCCTGCACGTGCTGGAAGAGGCCTTTCTTCATCAGCTCGTTGCCAAAGTCTACCGCCTCGTCCCGCGTTTCGATGTCTTTGAAGTTTGAGAGCAGCCAGTTAGTGAGGTCAAAGCCAAGAAAACAATTGTAGTGCAACTTGAGATGCCATCGACGGTCAAGCATCTGAATTCCCTTTTCGCCTTGCAAGTCTTCCGCGAGCTTCTTGATGTCTATACTAGACGTGTGGTATTTTTCCGCATCGGAGAAGATGGACGTCTGGAACTCGCTGTCGGTGTCGTTGAGCAGGGAGTGATCTGGGCCGGCCGCAACGACTGCCGAGGGATCGCGTGTGTGGTACTCAATTGCAAGCGGATTCGAGTCCTTTTGTTTCAAAATGGACGCTGGCTGGAAGTAGCGCTCTTCTGGAGGGATATAGCGGAACTTCTGCCACAGTTGAGTAAGCTTGCGAATTCCCTCGAGCCGGATCTCCTCAGGCGAGTCCTGCATAGGCAACGGTCTCCGATGCATGGCTGGTATATCCACGGGAATTAGGACAAAGCGAGCCCTCCAGAAGCGCAGTATCTCCGAGAACTCGTCATGGTATCCAGCCAAGAAAGTGTCGATGATGTTCCAGTTGTATTCTCTCCGTGGTGGACGTAACACAACTTCTCGAGGGTCGTATGTATCTTCGAACGCAGTGCGGATAAAAGGCTTGTATGAGAAAGGCGTATCAATGCCAGCAGACGACTCCAGTGCTGTGGTGGGCTTCCGGTTGTATCTCCTTACCTCTACCTCTCCCCCAGCTACACACACCAGCTGGTGGATGCTGTTTCCAACGCTCATGAAAACAGTGTCTCCATCACTAGACATGTACTCGGAATCAAGAATGCTAGCGAGAGTCTTCTCTTGCCGGCCTGAAAACTCCGCTACGGAAGAACCAACGATGATTTGGAACCCGTGGGAGAGGCGAAAGGCAATTAGCTCTTTGATAAGAGACTCTCGGCTCTTTGGTGCTTCCAGAATATCGTCGTCCTCATTCTGCGTAATTTTATATGGACTTTCGTTGTACTCTGATGCTATCTGGTCAACAGAAGGGAACCACTCATGGGTCAGTGGTACTGCAGCGGGTGAACACAACGACCTCCACTTTACCGTGCCCGTCCTCAATGTCCTAGGGAAGACGTGATGCCAGCGCCGGTACTGGTTCTTGGAGCTAATCATGTTTTTCTTCGGGTTACACGGGTTGACCAGGACTGCCCAAGGTGCGATCGCGCTTGTTGGAGACAGAGTCCGGGGAGCTTCTCTACCACCTCCACTAGAAGAGAGGTCTGGTTTCGGTCCACCGTGCTCACCTGCACCTCGCGCTCCCGCAAGTAAAAATGTTGACCCAGGGTCTCTCACGACTGAGCCGGGCTGCGAAGGCACATTGGTTCGGTCGGATCGCGCTACCCTCACAGTCTCAACCGAGCGGCTTGCACGGTCAGACGCAAGAGATTCGGCTGACGTAGGCCCTGCGCGCGATGCAGGTTTTATCGCAATCGGCTGCGACGGCTTCCCTGTAGAAGTATGGCGAGTGCTCGCCAGCCGTTCCGCAATGGCTCCTTTTTGATTCTTCTCAACAGTCAGCATTGCAGGTTTCACTTTCCCCTGACTGATATCGATCGTGGCATCGCCAAGAGTTGGTTTTGCCGGCGCAGCCTTTCCACCAAAGCTCATCTGCCTAAGAAACCAATTGGAAGGTCTGCTCTTCAGGTCCTGCTTAGCTGGTGCTGGCGTTCCGGCACTAGTCGGTGAGAGCCCAGTTCGCCTGGGGGATGACCCGCGGCTTGTAGCCGGAGCTGGTGGATGTCTCTGGGTAGAGTTTACCGTTTGGCGATGATCTTGGGAGTCTCCAGAACCACCTCTTTTATGTACCGTAGGGCGTCCGGCGCTAGCATTATCTCTAGTCAAATTGTTCTGCCGCCGCAAAACATCGGCTCGCGGCATGCCCTCGCTTTTGAGGTTTGGCATACGGTAGGTGCTGCCTCGCGGAGATTGGCTTTCGACGTCTTTCGATCCCTCGCGCATCAGCTGCGGAAAGTTCGTGTCTGGTGGAGGTCGAGCTGTCTTCCCGAATGACGGACCAGTACTACGGAAAGAAGAAGATAGACGCAGACTTCGTGACAGGTCTGGTGATCCGCTGGTGATTTCATCGCTCAGCCTTCGCTTACGAGCTTGGAGTTGGTCTAATGCAGAGTGTCTCTCTACGAGAGGAGAAAAGACTCCGCCGTCGTATGCCTCCATCCAGGCCTTTTGGGCAGCCCTTGTTTCGTCCAGCTGATCCTCGTTATATTCTTTGTCGCCCCGCGAAGAATACGAGCCTGCCGCAGCTGCGGAAGGCTTGGTTGCTGGTGCGATCTGCGGGCCTTCTCCATTCGGTTCGAACAACTCGCGCAGGTGGTGTGGGTACATTGGGTCCTCTTCCAGGTAGGGAATCGCTATATCACCCACCTCATTCTCCATGACACCCATCATCTGCAGCTCGTACAATCGGCACCGTAGAGAGAAGATGCGACCTTTCTTGCGAGACTTCTTTACAATCTTGTCAGCCTTTCGTGGTTTTGTGAGTTCTAGAATCTCCTCAGACGTTCCAGACCAGAACGACACATCGACCCAGTACGGCATTGCGAACCTCCATCCGTCCGATGAGTCGGTGGACACGTCCATCGGTATGTGTCGTACGGTGGAAGCGCGTGACATGGAGCCAAAGTCTGGTTGACTCTGACGGGGAGTTTTGTCCTCTTCTGTCCGCGGCATCCTCGGAGAAGCATGCTGTTCCCTGTCGTGCTCGGCTTTCAAGTCGGACACCGAACGAGGCGTTTGGTATTTGAACAGGGGCACGGAGTGAAGAGGCATCGGCGAGAGACACACTAGATCAATTCCGATACCTGACCCAATCAGGGTATCCGTGGTCAGCTTGAGCATGTTGTAGTCAACCTCAAAGACGCCAGTGCCCGGAGTAACAACGATGACGGAGATGCCCGTGCGGACGAGATCGCGATCGATGTAGTCTTTGGCAAATTGAGCCGCTGCCAGATTGATGGCTTCTAGGATGTTGCCTTGGCTTGCGGAAGAAGGTCGGCCAGCTACGACGACATCAGCGGCTGGGTCTTCAGATCCCGTTTCCTCGTTGACGTGCTTCACCGGCTTACGGACCAGAGACACCTCCCGAAGAAACATCCTAAACTCCTTCTTTAGCTGATAGAGAATGTTGATC